CACTCACCTCAGCCTCCCAAAGGCATGGGATTATAGGCTGAGCCACCGAGCCCAGCTTGTCAATTCCTCTTCTAAACCATTTTCTTTACCAAAACCACTTTGCCCACCATTCCAGTTTATTTTACAAACAGCTGCAAACATGACCTTCATAACCTAAGGTTCTTCCAAGATCCAGAATGTCTGCTTGATTAAACAGGTTAAGTTTGTTTTTTAAAAGTCTAAATACAGAGGGTGCCAAAAACAAAAACCAAAAAAAAAAAACCACATTATAAGAAAGGAAAAAACTGCATTAAAATTATAATACTCAATAGAGGATGAATACACATTTGACTTCTGCAATTACAAGAGGTGCTCAGAGTGGTTACTGTCAGCATCCGGAAACTTCTGACCATGGTGAACATCTCTTCACCTCTCTTAAAATGTGTATACACTTTTTTGGCACCCCGGTATACATTGAGAGTAAATAGGGCCAGGCGCTGTGGCTCATGCCGTAATTCTAGTCTTTTGGGAGGCAGAGGCGAGAGGACTGCCTGAACCCAGGGGTTTGAAAGCAACCTGGGCAACATGGTATGACCGTGTCTCTACAAGACATAAAAAAATCAGTGGGGCATGGTGGTATGCGCTTGTAGTCCCAGCTAGTTGGAAAGATAAGGAGGAAGGATCACCTGAACACCTAGTTGGCGAGGCTGTGGTAGCTATGATTGTGACAGAGTGAAACCCCCAACTCAAAATAAAAAAAAATAAGGAAGAGTAAATAGGGTCAGTTATACTACTTAGCTGATAAATTAACAATAATATCTTTCTACATTTATTCTTCTAACTGAAAAATTTATTTTTATTTCGATCATCTCTGACACTCTCAACAGTTCTATTCAACACTGTTTTAATAAGGCAAGAAAAAGAAGGAAAGGAATTTGGATTGGAAATGAAGTGATTCCGAAAAATTTACTAAAGAAGTAAAACTGTTTCTATGCATAGATGATATAATTATTTATATAATCTCAAGGAATGCATATAACAACTATTAGAACCAATAGGGAACTCAGCAAGGTCACAGGATATCAAGTTAATATGGAAGACTTTATATAAAAAAACATTTTTATACATTAGCATATATAATGACCATGTCTCTACAATAAATAAAAAAATTAGCAGGGCATGGTGGTGCACGCTTGTAGTCCCAGCTAGTGTCAAAAAGCAAAAAATATTTATTTTTTTAGAGACAGCATCTTGCTCAGTCACCCAGGCTGAATGGCATAATCATAGTTCACTACAGCCTTGGACTCCTGGGCCTACGCAATGACGCTGCCTCAGCCTTCCCAGTAGCTGGGATAAGTGTATACTATACCAAGCTCCTGCTGATTTTTTTTTGTAGACATAGGGTCTCACTATGTCACCTAGGTTGGTCTTAAACTCCTGGCCTCAAGAAATCCTCCCAGCTGGGCTCGGTGGCTCAGCCTGTAATCCCGCGCCATTGGGAGGCTGAGGTGAATGGATTGCCTGAGCCCGTGGGTTCGAGACCCGCCTG